AATGTTTCTATAAAGAGCCAGATACTACTTTAGGCTTTGTCCCAACTACTCTGCTCTGTAGTAGCAAGACTACAGCATTTAGTTGTCGGCGTTGGTCTAAGTTGTGTCTGACTCTTTGTGACCCCATAGACTGTAGCACACCAGGCTCCTCTGTACTCCACCATCTCCCAGGGTTTGCTCAAATTCATGTCCATTGAATCGGTGATGCTATGTAACCACCTCATCATCTGCTGCCCCCTTCTCCTTTAGCCTTCAATCTTTCCCAGCATCAGGGTCTTTTGCAAATGAGTAGACTCTTCATATCAGGTAGCCAAAGTATCAAAACTTCGGCTTCAGCATCAGTCTTCCCAATGAATATGCAGCACTGATTTCCTTTAGAATTGACTGGTTTGATCTCCTTGCAGTCCAAGGGACTCTCAAGAGTCTCCTCCAGCATCACAATTTGAAAGCATCAAGCCTTCATGGTCCAACTCTCAAATCCATACATGACTACTGGAAAACCATAGCTCTGACTATATGGACGTTTGTCGGCAAAATGATGTCTCTGCTTTTTAATATGCTGTCTAGGTTTGTCAGAGTGAACAAGCGTCTTAATTTCATGGCTGCAGTCACCATCTGCAGTGATATTGGAGCCCAGGAAAATAAAATCTGTCACTGCTTCCATTTTTCCCCCTTCTTTTTGCCATGAAGTGATGGCCACAGGCAATACTTAAGTGAATGAGTATGGATGTGTCCCAATAAAATGTTATGGACACTACAATCAAATTTTATATAATTTTATGTGTCACAAAATATTTTTCTTTTGATTTTTTCCAACCATTTAAAAAGGTAAATAGTTTATATTTGTATGGTTTACAGGCCATACAAAAACAGACCACAAGACTGCGGCCAGTGGGCCACACTTTGCTAACCTCAGCACCTTGCTCATTTCACCCGCATCCTGAAGACTGCCCCACAGCTGCACATGAGATCCACCCAGCCTCCTGAACGGCTGCCTTGGATTCCATCAAGAGGTTGAACCATAACTGGCCCACAGTTCTACTGCTGGATATTTGGTTTGTTTCCATTTTAAAATTACAAATGGTGCTAAAATGAACATGCTTGTACATTTAGTGAGTTTCCGTACCCCTACAGGGTTCAATCCTATGGGTGAATCAAGGCCTGGGACCACTTTTGGTTTCTCCAGATATTGCCAAAACAGTCCTCCAGAAAAGCAGAAAAGATTTCATTCTGCACATATGCAGACCCTCTGCCCTCACTTCTTAATGTCCTGAATGTCCTGACAGGCATTCTGGAAACAGAGTTCTCTAAGCCCAAGGTCTGCCAACTTCCTGGGTGGGAGATTTTCTCCACTTTCAGAAATCCTCTTCTGGCTTTCAGCCCTACTGACACCTGCCCAGCAAAAGCAGAGAGGTGTCCGTCTTCTCCATAGTGAGGAGGGTGCCAACCAAAGGGCACAAACTGACTGAGCTGACTGCTCAATTACAGGACAATTACAGAATGCAAAACAGCCACAGCCCCCTACATCCCAGGATCTTCTCTCAGGCTGCCTTTGGGTCCTAGGCCTTTCTGCCTTCACACCTACAATCTCCTAGCCCTGACGCCAGGAGAGGCCTTAGAGATGTATCAGTTGAGTATCCAGCCCCCACTTTACTGCAGGGATAAGAAAACCAAGGCCATAAAAAAGACCTGACCTGCCCAGAGTCCCAGCATGAGAAATCCTCTACGCAGGACAGCCTCTCTCGAGGGAGGGCTGGCTTCCACTGTCCAACTCCTCCCATCTCTCACACAGGCTCCAAGGCTTCACTGCAGGTGGCCACTTTGGATGAGGGCTGGTGTGTGAGGCAACAATCCAAATCCCCTCCTCCCCATCACTCCCTCAGTCTCCCTGGTCTGCCTCCAGGTCTGCGGTCCTCCTGGGAAGTCTGAATACACTGATGAAGCAGCAGTTGTGAGCCAGGTCTGTAGAATCACCCAGCTCCTTGCCGCCCACAGCCCAGCTGCTTTTGCTAGCTGTTGGCTGGTCAAAACCTAGGGATCCCCAGGGAGCTCAGGAAAGCATGTGAACACATGACTTAGGCAAAGAGTTGAGGAGGACTGCTCCAAGGCACAAAGACTACTCCTGGGGGTGACTCAGAAGGCGGGCACTGGCGAGATCAGTTCCATCAGGGAGTGGGGGACAGAGCTGGGGGGAGGGAAGAAAGGCCACAGCCCTGGGGCCAACACAAGGCAAGCAGGGATCCCCCGTGGGTTACCCACTGGGCCACTCTAGGAGATGTCCACCCACACGAAGGGAGGGCCGCGGGCCCCCCCACATCAGCAGATGGACGAGGGCTCCCCGGCTCCCCTCACGTGGGCTGCCTCAGCAACCCCAACACCCTACACCACAAGTGGCTGCCCTAAAGGACACACCAGCGAGGGAAGAGGAGAGGGTGAAGGACAGGAAACAAACACCGTTAAGTGCTTCCGTGTGCCAGGAACTGTGCCTAATCGTTGGCACAAGATGACAAGTTGTTTCAGCTCTGCCCCCCTCCCCCAGCCTTGACAGCAGCCTGAGGGGATGGGTGAGAGTCCTCACCTTTATGTTAAAATGACAAAGGCAGGCTCCCAGAGGCTAACTCCAGGAGTCCTCCCTGCTAGGTCACTGCCCTTCTGGGGTTGTTCAGCTTCAACTCCAACCTTCGGGAGTTGTTCAGCTTCAACTCCAATCGGAGACAGGAGCCAAGTCCCGTTCCAGACGTAGCCTGTAGGCAACAGAGGCTAAACTAAAAGGCCAGGGGCCGGCTGGAGAGCCTCCCTACTCCAGGCAACCCTCTCCTCACACCCGGATAAATGCTGGCCGTGTGGGATGGCAGGAAGCAGTAGAGCTGCCATTTCCCTCTGCTCTGAGGCTGCCCATCTGTTTCCTGGGATAGGACTCCCTGCCCCCACCCGGCCCCAGGCCGGAAATTCACTTGCTCTGGGGCTATGGGAAAAGGGAACTCATGGCTCCCTCCCTCCCCAGAGGGCAGCGGCAGAGGCTGCCTCCCGCCCTCAAGGCTCTCGCTGGCCAGCTGGGTTCTGGGCACACGAGAAGGCCGCAGGCCAAAGGGGTTCCTGCCCCACCAGCACCACTGCCCAGCCTCTGAGCAGCCACAAAACCCTCCCCTCTTCTGGCCTGACTGGCATCCCTGGCTGCCTGGAGGGTGAGGTAAGGGGGTGACTTTCTGAGTATAAGTTTGTGGAAACTTTAAAAAAAAAAAAAGATTTCCCGCCCCTGCCTGAGTCACAACATGGTCATCTGCAAGTGAGCACTGCCCCCTGCTGGACACTTCGGGTACACCCACCTGTGTCACCCTGACTAAGGTGCTGTGCAGACTTAAGCGCGGAAAAAGCACATCCTGCGCCCTAGCAGTTTAACACCCCACAAAAAAAGCGTCACAAACGGTGTCAAAGGTCATGTGTGGTTCCCCAACTTGGTCAAGATTCTCTTCTTAACCAAACATTCAGTTCAGTTCAGTTCAGTCACTCAGTTGTGTCTGGCTCTTTGCGACCCCATGAATCGCAGCACGCCAGGCCTCCCTGTCCATCACAAACTCCCGGAGTTTACTCAAACTCATGCCCATTGAGTCGGTGATGCCATCCAACCATCTCATCCTCTGTCGTCCCCTTCTCCTCCTACCCCCAATCCCTCCCAGAATCAGGGTATTTCCAATGAGTCAACTCTTCGCATGAGGTGGCCAAAGTATTGGAGTTTGGCCACCTCATTAGTCAGGCTCTTTTGAGCCACTTTGCAACTAGGCCTATCCCCAGGCTTCATCCTCCTGAGCATGATTCCTGCTGCTGCATTGGTTTACTAGCCAGAATCTCACACCCTCGCTATGTGATCAGTCTGGATATCTTACCAGGCTCCTTATCCCTCAACACTCCCTAGACGATGTCTGATCACCTGGGCTGCCTTCAGAGAGAATCAGCCAGGACAGTATGCTAAAATCTCCCTTAGCCTGATGTTTCTTAATTTTACATACACACACACACACACACACACACCACTCCTTGGCTACAAAGCTTCACTTTTCCTTGCTGTATTCAAAATTAAACCCAATTCTATACTGAGGTCTAGTTTCCCTTATCACAATAGTTTTCCTGAGTAAAATCTCTTTTTCCACTTCTGGTTTTTCTTTAACACATCAAATGAACGAAACCGCATGGGCTGAGGCAGGCCAGGAAGGCTTTTACGTGAAGTGTTAGTGAGGAAACTGAAAGGGCGAGGAAGAGTAGGGAGGGCAGCACAGCCTGGAAGGGGCTGGCCCAAAGCAAAGGCCATCAGGGGCTGCTGGAGGGTGACAAACCAACCAAGGGCCTATGGGGTTATCACTTGTTGGCTTTCACATTTTTTAAAGCCTTCAACTTTTCCCACAAAAGGATCTGCCCTGGAACCCCACCCATAAAACTGGTCAATGCTGAGGTGATCCGACCAAAGGCAAGGGGCTAAGCCCCCGACCCCTGGCACACTGTGGGAGCCTCCAGGCATCTCTGAGCACCCGAAGGAGCACAGCGGCAGACCACAGGGAGTCGCTAAGCTTCCAGTGCATTTGGACCGACAGGACAGCCACGGGGTCCAACAAGGAGGGAGCACAGAGAAGAAATGTCCAGGATGGAGTGAAAGCAGAGGCAGGGAGCCCATGGCCACCAGGGGGCGCTGAGAACTTGCCACACTTCTTCAGCCAGCCCTTTTCCACACTAGGACCTCAGGGAACCCAAGGTCAGTGTTTGGGAAGCCAAATCCTCCATGCACCAGTGTTCCTTTCCCAGTCTCCACTCACTGTGTCTATCTAAGCTAGTTCCTGGCTATACTGTCCCACTCATCTCTGTCTGCTGCATCCCCCCTTATCAATGCACACAGAGGACTTCCACAAACACCACGATTAAGAAAAAGAAAACCCCGTATACTGTACAAAAAATGGGCTGGCCCCAGCGCACCAGAGGCATGTCAGAGGCTGTCTAGGAAGGATACTCACATCAGGAATGTCCAAAAGCTTTGATACCAGAACAGGCAACTTCAGGGCTGCAACACTCCCAGTGACTCCCAAGAGAACATGGAACGGTCTTCTCAAGGGTGCAGCAGCTGAACACGCAGCCCTTGATTCCATGTGGGGTCTGGTGGCTTCGAGTCCTGGAAGCCTGCCAGAATTGGGCTCCATAAAGCTCTGTCAGGATTTAGGATCTAAAAGCAAAACAAGGGGGACCTGCTTCATTCATACATTCAACCAAAATGTATTGAGCACCCTGTGTTAGACGCCAGGCCAGATGCTGGGGTTCCCCAGGGGTCAATAATCCCAGCTTCTGGGAGCAGTTTGATGAGGTCAGACACCCTTACCCCGCATCGGTCAGTCACACTGTAATATGGCCAGTGCCATGAGGCTGCGCAGCCTATGAGTTACTGCCTGAGGAAGTAGTCAGAAACCAAAAAAAAAAAAAAAAAGTAACATTCAGATTGAGTCCTGCAGTACAAGGAAGTTTTTCAGAGACAGAAGAAAATAACTTCACAAAAAGAGCAATCTTGCATAAGTGAAGAGGCCTGAAGGAAGGTGGCAGGTGTGGGGAACAGAGAGTAGCTTAGCAGTGAGGTGAAAGTGTGATGACGGGGCAGTGGGGTGGGCAGGACGTCAGGCTGCAAAATCAGGTCAAGGACTAAATGTCAAGGGCAGTGAGGGCCAGGGTGGGTTTTCATTTTAGAAAGACAGTGCCTGTGCTGGTAAGAAGTCTGGAGGGCACCTTGGTGGTGAAGAAACTAAAGGGGGCAGACGAAGAAGGAGCCACTGCTGTGGGCTGGGCTGACTGAGGACTGGCATGGCAGGTTCCAGGGGTGCCTATGGGGTGGACCCCTAGGCCACAAAGGGGTTTGGGTGCTCCAGGGAGGGATTTGCCTCTCTGTCCCTTTCCCTGTGGATTAGGCACCACCCTACGATCCCACAGCCAAGAAGAGACAAGCATAAAAGGGATAAAGGCCACCCCATGAGACCAGCTGCTTGGTTTCTTCCTCTGGTCCCCAGATGTTGCTAGAAGTGACTGTTTATGATAATATGGCTGACGGATGCATCGAAACCTACACTCTGGCAGGCTGCACCAGCAAAACATACTCATTCCATCAGCAACAACCACCAAGGGTGATCACACCAGGCAAAAGAATTATGGAAGACACAGTTGCTGTCTTCAGGGAATCTGTGCATGGGCTGAGAAGACAGAAGTCACACCTGAAATCATTTGAGATGGGTCCTTCTGTGGGATGGACCTTTTCAGTGATCATTGATTCCACCTGGACACATCAGTTTCCCTGCCTTTCCATCTCCACTTTCCCACACCACCACCACCAGTAAGCTCCCTGAATGTCTGACCGGGTTTAAACACCAACCACTAGGCAGGTATCAGGCCTGCGGTAGGTCCTGAACATCTGCTGAATGGATAATCACCTGCACCCTCTGAAGCAGAGCTGGGCAGAGAACAGACACCTGGCCTGTGAATCAGGAGCCCTGGGCCCTATCCATGTGCTCTTGACCCACTGTGTGACCCTGGCTCAGGGTCATTCCCTCCCTGCACATGTCTCTTCATTGAATAACACAAAGACAGGGCCAGGTGATCTCTGAAGCTCCTCCCATCAGCAACCTTCTGAGTCAATGTATGAAAGACAAGAGGTAAGTGACTCTCTGTACAAGGGTATCCTGGGAGATGTTCTCAAAAAGGGTAGAAGCAACAAGGGGAAGGGACACCAAGGCAGACCCCGAGGAAGAAGTCCAGTGAGTCACTCAATGGGTACTCATCTGGCTGCAACCCATAAGGGCTCCCTCTTTACTCCACAGGCCCCTTGGCTCCTCAGGGCCCCCTTGCCCATTTTTTACCTTTAAGACTCAAGACACATACTTATGAGTTGAGGATCATGTTTGGGTCGATTATACTACTCTTATCTAGAAGGGTCTCCCAGGGGCCCAGACCCTTCTCAACAGAGGTTAAGCACAGGCCACTTTCCTAGACAAAACATCCCCCCAGAGTTCCATTTGCCAGCAATCTCAATCTCTGCCCTACATCAGGGCCTCAGCCAGGGCCATGTTTGCCCACAACAGAACTGAGTCTTCTCTAAGGCCTGGAGAGCCATGTTGGCAGCTGACAAGGCTAGAGGGCCTATGAGCCAGCTTCTTCCCAGAATGAATCCATGTGCTGATCAGCATCCAGGAGGAGGCACATTCTCAACTCTCCAGGAACACCCACCTGCCAAATCCCAAACCTTGACCCTTGACCCTAGCACCCAACTAGGGCTAGGACATAAGAGATTCCTGAAAAATCAGAAACTTAATTTAAAATCTCCTCCTGGTGGCTCAACAGTAAAGGATCTGCCTGTAAGCCCGAAGACTGCAATGCAGGAGATGCAAGTTCGATCCCTGGGTCAGGAAGACCACCTTGAGAAGGAAAATAGACAAAATCTCATGGACAGAGGAGCTTGGCAGGCTACAGTCCATGGGATTGCAAGAGTCAGACAAGACTTAGCAACTAAACCACCACCACCACCACCACCACATCAAATTGATATCATTCCTAAGGAACAAAGCAATCAGTTAAACTTGGGGCAGGAATTCATGCTGGTGACTTCAACTGCTTCTCCACAGCAGGTGGTACAGCCCAAGATTTCCTATTAATGCTTAGCCTGCTGAGCAATCTTTGTTAAGGACCAAACCCTAAATATCTTTCTAGAAAAGAAGGGGGAGGGGCGATATGTACTTGAGGAATAGAGAGTAGATAATTTAACCAACATCTGAAACCAAGGTCAAATCAGCTCAAACTGCAAGCCCCATGGAGGGCAACAGTTGGCAGGAGTTCCTTATGTTTACTCTCAAAGGTAGCTGTAGACAGCACCTCATCTTCCTGAGCTCTGCTGGACTCACAGGAACTCCTGAGCAGCAGAGAGAGCTGGTAAGCAGAGAGGCCAAAGGGCTGAAAGCTGTGATTACTGAGCCTCAAGATCCCAGGGTGCCAGCCATGCAGGTAGCCACACGCATGCAGCCACAGCCAGAAAAATGACAAGCTTCTCTGTCCTTTGAGAAAGACAAGGTCAGACAGGGCAAAGAGCTTCAACTTGTGGCAGCCTTGTGATATATAAGTCTCCTTTTCTGATGAGTTTAATTAGGGCAGAGTTAAGTAAAAGTTTCCAGAACGCTTGCCAATCACAATATGGGCAAGTGAGGAGCCAGGGCAGAACCAGGGATTTAAAAAAAAGTCCAGATCGGGGTTTCAGGCCAGCCCAGCCACAAACAGGAGCTGGGGCTCAGAAAAAAGAACCGAATTTGGGTGGGTGGGCAAGGAATCCAGGACCCTTTGGCCTGACGTCAAAGTTCCTCACCCGCGGCCCCAAGATTCTGCTCTGCCCTTATCTCCCACCAGTCAATAAAACTCTGTCCCAGTAATAATGAAACACCAGCAGCTCCCGGTAGTGGCAGTCTTCCCCCAAACCTAGTCATTAAAAGAAGTGGCGTAGCCACAGGAACACTCTAAATCCCTTCCTTCAAGGAAAGGCAAGGAAGTCTTCAGGGAGAACTCAAGGTCTTGACATTCTGCTAAGACTGCTCTTCTCTCAAACCAAAAGCAGGGAGGCTTGACTCTGCAGCTCCTGGAATCCCGTTAGGCACTGTTCCTCAAGGCCACAAGTTGGGGACACATTACATTCAGGCTTCCCAGGTGGTACTAGTGGTAAAGAACCCACCTGCCAATGCAGATGTGAGAGATGAAGGTTCAGTCCCTGGGTGGGGAAGGTCCCCTGGAGAAGGGCATGGCAACCCACTCCAGTATTCTTGCCTGGAGAATCCCATGGACAGAGAAGCCTGGTCCATAGGGTCATACAGAGTCCAACAGGACTGAAGTGGCTTAGCACTCACACATTAATATTACATTCACACGTGGGGGCTACTAACAAGGGAGTGACTCGGAACTGCTACCTCTCAGCCACTAGGAGAGATGAAGACAACTTCTGCTCCAAGGTACCCATCACTTCCCCAACTTGGGAATCTCTCCTGCCTATTACCTGGCACTGGCTCCAATACTTCAAAGTGCAGCACTGAGGTTTTTCTCTGACAAAATTTGGCCTCCCTCTCACTTTTTAATGTCATTCAGCACTTTTAGGTGGAGCCAGGGGATAACTGCAATATCCCAGGGCTTTCCTTTTTCTATTGTATCAACTTGTAAAATGGTTTGTACTTTGAGCCATCCCCTTTCCTTTTTGAAAGTAGGCTCGGGGATTTTGGTTTTTGTTTCTTTCAGGCAAGAGGTTAAACGTGGGTAACCGATAGGGCTACCTTTTAAACTAGATTAAAGGGCCCTAGGCAACTGCAGAAGAGCATAAAGCAGGGATGGGAGGGCACATACAGAAATGCACCACTTCATAGTATACCTATGGCTGAGTCATGCTGCTGTTTGGCAGAAAACACAATATCGGAAAGAAATTATCCTTCAATTAAAAATAAATTAATTTTAAAAAATAAATGCCCTACTTCAGGATGGAGCTGGGAACAGGTCCATAGCGCTCCGGACCCATAGACTCCACAGCCCCTAACACAATGCTACACACACACACACACACACACACACACACACAGAACCGGAGATCAGCAACGGACACACAGACACACACACAGCTGCAGACCCGCAGATGCGAACCAAGTTTCTTGGGCACCAATACGAGAGGGAGGACACTCATGGACACACGCAGCCACATACACGGAAAGTGAGGTCACACAAAGAAGTCAAAGTCGCCAACGACGCTTCCCCAGCCTCCCGCTTGTCCCACCACGGGAAACCAGCCTCCACGGTTCCCCCAGCCTCCTCACCCGTGCCAGGGGCGTCTCGGGGCAGCCCCAAAATATCGCGTTATCTCGGTCGCCCCTCCCGCTGATTCCGACTGGCACGCAACTTTACGGCTGCCGGAGGTGCCTCCGCCACCGCGTAGCCTTCTGGGAGTTGTAGTCAACTTCTCAGCCTTCCGAGAGCTGTAGTCCCCTCGGGGAATCCCACCGAGAGCACCGGTTCCCAAGTTCCTGGTATTTCCTGTGTTCATCTGGGCCTGCCAGTTGTCTGACCTCCTCATCCCCCCAGCCCCACCCACACTGCTTATCACTGCAGTACTTAATAATACTTTTACTGAGCCTATCTTCTATGTTTTTTGTTTTAATTTTTTAAATTAATTATTTTTTTGACTGTGCCAGGTCTTAGATGCTGCATGCGAAGTCTTTTAGTTGCAGCACGGGGATCTTTAGCTGCAGCATGTGAATCCAGCTCTTCCTCAGGAAACTCAGAACTCCTCCTAACAGGCAGAAGGACTCTAGCAATTTCAAGGCTGCCTCAGAGAAAGAACCACACAGAAGTGTGTGACTTTTGACCTCTGGGAATGACAGGCGACAGGCCCACTGGACCCACCCTACTTCCATGCCCCACAGCCCATGGTGAGGCTCCACACAGGCCCTCATGAAGACACATGACACAGCAGGACACAGAGGGTCAAATGTTCCCCTTTATTATGTTTCACTCAGTTACCACAGACAGACACATTGGCTCAGGCAGGTCAACTGCCAGTTGGAGAATGGTCTGTGTTTCCCAGAAACAAGGAGGGGCAGTGGGCACCAGCAGAATGCAAAAGCAGGTCACTGGCCAAAGACCTGACCTTAGAACTGACCTCAGCCTTCCTGCACCCCACCCTTAAGCCAGACCATCCAGCAGAGATGAACCTGTGCCCAGCCCCCAATTCTCGTTCGGTTCCCTCCCCAGGAAAGTGCATAGATGCCTGGAGATGCAGCATCCCAGGGCCTCGACAAGCTGGGCCACACGCAGGTATAGCAGGTTTTCCAAAGGGCAGAGCCAGGGCATGGCCATACAGGTCTGAGCCAGGAAAGAGCAAAGTCGGGTAGGACAGGAAGCTGACGGGAAGGAGCATCCAACAGGTCAAGGATGCTGTGCTGGCAGCTAGACCACAGGCCTCCTGGAGTTACCGAAGAGAGGAAGAGAAAGGGAGCCAGAGGTCTGGGCGGGGAGAGAGGAAAGAAGAACCTAGACCTAGGGTCTCTTTTTGGGTACTAGGGGCTGTGACAACTGCTTTCCAAAGAGAAAGTGGTAGAGGAGAGAGTCAATCACACTCTGGCCCAAGCCTAAGGGGCCATTAGGAAGATAACTTCCCAGAGGCCCTGGTTCCCCTTGTAGGAAAATGAAGTACCTGGATCTCAAAGCTCAGATGGTGCTTGGAAATCCAGATGCTGCATTCTAAGTTGGAGCCACCCAGGGTGGCCAGGTGGAGTTTGGTTTTTCAAGCCAAATCACCCAGATGGGAGGTAGGGGCAACGAGTGAGAAATGGGCAGCTGCTCCATGGGTAAGAACCCACTCCTCTTCAGGCCTCCAAGAGAGCCAGTACCTCTACCAACAACATTCTCACAATGCCTGGGACACAACAGGCCCACAGTCCTCTATCACTGTCCTGGAAAGAAAAGGGGGTTCTAATGGGGGTGAGGAAGGGCTAAGAATCAAGTCCAGTAGACAGAGGGGAGCAAGTAATCTCGATGTGATAAAAAACAGGAGCCAGAGAACCTCCCCTCCCACCCCACCTAACCTGAAATCACATTCCAGCTATTGTGCTTGCACACAGGGTTGGGCCTGTGCTTCTTCCTAGGCCTTGAGTTCAAGTGCCCAGAACTGCCCTATGCCCAAGAGCGAGCAAGCTGGGGGGGTGGGGGCAGGGGGGATGCATGATCCCCTCTCAGTTGGTCCTGCCTACCTTCTCCTCTGAGGAGAAGACTCACCACTCCAGGACCAGTCCTCTGAGCCTATCCCTTCAAACCTAAACAGAACAGCTATTGCTCCCAGGAATCCAGTGGTCATTCAGAGACACCCAGCACCTGCCCAGTGGGCTTGGGCCAACCAGACATCACTCAGAGACCAGTAATTATTCACAGATCCTTTGTTCCAGCTGCACCTTTGGGCTTCCCAGGTGGTGCTAGTGGTAAAGAACCCGCCTGCCAATACAGGAAACCTGAGTCAGGAAGATCCCCTGGAGTAGGAAATGGTTACCTACTCCAGTATTCTTGCCTGGAGAATCCCATGGACAGAGGAGCCTGGTCGCAAGAGGTCACAAAGAGTCGGACATGACTGAAATGACTTAGCAAGCACACAGCTGCACCTTTACACCTGAAAACTGCCCAGACACCACCCAGCTCTTCAGGGAAGGCAGTGCAATCTGCCCCTGTGGATGGCAGACATCACCTAGCACATAGTAGGGGTAGGGCAGGGTAGGGCAGGAGAATCAGGCCACAGCAGCTGCGAGTGTGGGGAGGGACACAGGCAGAGGGGCTCGAGGGGGCTCTGGGAAGTAGAGGAGGAGAAGGCAAGGCAGGGAAGAGAGACCCTGCCTTGCATGTCCATCCCCTGCGGGTCAGGTGCCCAGGAGGGCTCCACATCTCTGGCTGTGTGCCCTCCCACATCAGGGCTCAGGGCTCAGCTCCCCTGTCCTCTGTCTGCTTCCTGGATCTGAGAATGGGCTTCAGTCTCAAGAGCAGATACAAGTAGGACCCTCAGCCTGGAGGAAGATGAAGAAATGCCACATGAGGAAGAGAGGAGCCCTGGGCAGGCGAAGAGACCACAGGAAGCAGGAAGAGAGAAATGGAGGAGGAGGTTGTGGGAGGTAGGAGGGGAGGGCAGAGACCCAGAGCCAAAGGAGCAAGGGGAGATCCCCTGCAGGTCTCCACCCTCCCCACCAACATCCCCAGGAGTGCTAAATACTGCTGCTTCCCAGGAAGACCAAAACTGGAAACAGTTTCAGCTCATAACCTTGGGAGGGGGTCAGGCTCTCTGCTATGCCTCCCCTTGCCCCATGAGGGGTCTCAGGGCAGAGGTCAGATGGAGCAGCCTGATGGAGGGTGGGGGGCTGGTTTAGTTCTAAATGTACATCTAGCACCACAACAAGAGACCTCCACTGCACACTATTCACAAGGGGACACAGACACAACTACTGCCGCATGGGACAGCTCCGAGTGCAGCCCCCAGCTCTCAGGGTGCTGAGAACAGAGTCCAGAGGGTGTGGGGGAGGGGTGGTACATATACATATATATATATATAACTCTGATGCTTTGTACAAAGTGGGGGAGGAGAAAAAGGGAAGGGGGAACCCTGCTTGGTCACCACAACAGACCCTGTGGTTTGAGCCCCCATCCCACCGGCCCCCAGCCAGCTCCCGGTCGGCTTGACTGGTTCACATCTCATTGGAGTATGTGTAGTTGGGAGTGGCAGAATACTGAGTCTGCGGCTGATTCATGGCACCCTGTGCTGCCCCCATGGCTGCATTCTGGGCCGCCTGCTGCACGTGCGGGTTCTTCCATGCTCCCGTGGTCCACTCCTCCTGAGCTTTGCTGAAACTACCCCCGCTGCCCCGGTAGAATTTATGAACCTGTAGGAGGAGGAGCACAAGGAAGGGTTAATCAAGGGGAAGAGGCAGCCCATCCAGAAAATACATGGGAGCCAGAGGTAAGTCACCAAAAAAGCCAGTCCTCCCTCTGACCCATGCCCTGAGCGCTGGGAGCAAAGTCCATCAAGCCATTCCAGAGTGAGTCCCTTGGAAGACCACTGGGTCTTTCTGTAACTTGGGAGAAGGGTTGTTACAGATCACGGTCCCTCCCAACACCACCCTGTAGCTCTCGAGGTGACCACATACCATGCTGAGGGCAATGAAGGAAAAGACAGCCATGACCGTGAACATGACGGTGGGAATGAGCATCACCACTGCTGAGCCAATGTTCGTTCCGAAGAAGGAAATGGTGGCGATCCAGCCGCTGCAGAAACAGGCCAGCTGTGGGGCTGCCTGGCACAGTGACGGGTCCCCAGGAGCCACCCCACTAGAGTAAGGGACCATCTCATTGTCACAGAGAGAGACCATATCAATGGATGGACAGGGCCTGTGTCAGTGGTTTAGGAAGAACCCTTGGCTTGGGAAACAAGCTTCTCAGAACATAAGGCTTCCTTCTCTTGGGTTATCTCATGATGCTTGATATCCCTCATCACCCCTAAAAACCACGGCCTTATTCTCCTCTGATGCTATGCTGTACTACTAAGTTATTCTGAATCCCTTCACACTTCCAATAACTCATGGTGTTCCCACAGGCCAGGCAGCTTAGCCCACAGAAGTAAGCAAAGGACACACCCCAGTTGCCACCCAGCTAGCCCTGGGTCAATCCCAGACACCCTTGTCTCTTACCAGACACCCCAGCCTGGGATGCCCACAGCCTGGATGATGCTGATGACCAGCTGGGCCATGAAGGTGAAGAAGAATGCCATGAAGCTGAAGGAGCTGTCAGTCCTGCAACAGAGGAGATGGCTCCCGTCACCTGGGTAGAGGGACACAGCTTCCCTGCCTTTAAGACTTTCAAGTCCTTCTAAGTGTGAGAACACAGTGGATCTTAGCTAAGAGTTCAAAATGGGACAGCATTTACCCATGGATCTTTGTAAGTTGCCATGTGTTAGACCTGTGTGTACCACATTGCATAGGGAGAGATCTCCTCATGAACGGACCACTCAGTGGTACATGGATGGTTGGCACAGAAATAGATGGGTCTGTTGTGGCAGGAATAAACAAACCCATGTCAAAGGGTTGGACAACCCTACTGGCCCCAAGACATCAAGCTCCAGTGGTACAAGAGTGGAGGGCCCCACAAGGTAGAAAGTGCTGTTGGCACAATAATGGACACATGACTGGCACCAACATTATAACCTAATTGGCACACAAATGGATGGATCCAATTGGCAAAGATTAATACTAGAGGCCCGATTGGCACTGAGAGGGATAATCCATTGGTACAAAGATTGAAAATCCCACTTGCCACAAGGCAGACACCCACTGGCACTAAGACAGCTAGCCCTACTGACACATGGATGGGTAGTCCCTTTGGCACAGAGTTGGATGCCCTCATTAGCACGTAAATAGTGTCAGTGGCATATGGATGGCTTGTCCCATTGGCATGTGGGTAGATGGTCTACTTGGCAACAAATTAACCAGCCCCATGGATACCAGGATGGGCAGCTAAACCAAGACAGGTAGCCCCACTGGCAAAATTTATCATGCAGCTAGTTGCCTGGGGAAGGGAAAACAAGAACAGTCTGGTCTCTGTGTTGTCCCACCCAAGGGTAGAGTGAAGAAGGAAAGACCTAAGAGGAAGGCTCTGACTCACAGCCCTCTCACTCCAGCCTAGAGCTCCCAGGAAGCCCAAATCCTACCTGGCAGTCTGAGCTGAGGAAAAAAGGGAAGGTGAGCTCAGGGGACAGCAAAAAAAAAAAAAAGTGAGAAAAATACGTAGAGAAGAGACAGGGGAGATGGGCAAAGGTACAGGGTTAAGAGCTGGGTTCAGCACCCATCACTTACTTGAAGGCCTTGTAAATGGGCCGAAACCAGCAGACGTAGGAGCAGGGTGTGAAGAGGATGAGCCAGAGAAAGGCGAGGCCAAAGTTGGTGGCTCCCCCGCCTCCGATCAGCCACGCGAGACAGCCCACCAGGTTCACGGCCAGCGTGACGCTATTCACTGCAGACCCGGGAGCACGTCAACAGACACCAGACAGACAGCAGACACGCACACGGACACCAAGGCCCATGCGGAAATCCACAAGCACCCATACACAGACATATACCCCCATAACTCAACACAGACCCACAATCAAACACAGGCAAACAGCAGAAGCACAGAAGGATATAGACAAACACAAACACACATGCAAACCACATTTATACAGATGCATACCCACAAGTCACATCAGCCAACACACACACAGAGATACATAAGATGCACATATAACATACACACAGAGCGGGTATAGACTGTAAGAAAGATAACTGGGAGCTCAGACCAACCCCCCAAAACACACACCCGTTCCTGGGGATCTGAGAACTCCAGAGAACAAAGACTCTCCCCCGATCAGGAACTCAGAGTCTCAGCCTAGCGAGTCCTGTTGAAGAGCCCCAAAGCCTCAGCCTGGGAGAAATGCTCTTCTTATAAGTATGGCCTCAGCCCCTGGCCTTCCCAAACCCACAGCAATCACCAAGCCCATGGCACAGGAAACCCATCTTCCATCTTCTCTTGCAAGGTAGGGCATGAAAAGGGGAAAGGAAAAGGAAATGTCTCTTTATGTCATTGTACCATCTGCCCCACACTTATACAGGGCAGGCAGCAGTGACTGGGATCTCAGTCTGTCTTTAATCCTATTATGCCACCTCCTCCAAGAAGCCTTCTTTCATTATTGCAGTCTTATTCACCTCCCATCCCTCTGATCTCCTAACAACTTGGGTGCTCTCATGTTTCCCAAAGGACAAATCCCAGCCCATCAACCAAACTAGAGGTTCCCCAAGAGAGAGACTCAGGCACCTTCTCTTCCATGCCGACCTACTCTATAACTGAACCTCTGAATCACTGTATCCCTGAGTTACAGCCAGCAGGGACCTCAAGTCTCCTCATCTGATGCTGGCACTAACACACACCCAGTTCGTTGGACATAAGGGTACTTGCTCCCTTCCTCTATTATTAGCCCAAGTCCCTTTAAGGCTCCACAAAGACTTGCTGAACAAGGATTCCCCTGGTGGTCCAGTGGTTAAGACTCCACCTTCCAGTGCAAGGGACAGAGGTTCAATTCCTGGCCAGGGAACTAAGATCCCACGTGCCACAGGGTAACTACTGAGCCCGTGCACTCTAGAGCCCGTGCTCCACAAGAAGCCCTTACACCCCAACGGGGGAAAAAAGCCCCTGCATGCCACAGACCCCTCATGCCACAGCGAAGATCCAGCACAGCCAAAAGTAAAATAAATTAAAAAAAAAAAAAAGACTTGCTGAATAAACAAAGGAAGGCAGGCTTAATCTTGGCCTCAAACAGCCAGGCATCTATGGTCTTGGCTTTTGAATAGAACTCTTTAAGCATCTCAAGGGTTATATACATTTCCTTGGGAACAAAGCATCTGGCCAGCACCTAGTAAGGACTTAGGAAGATATTTATAGCCCTTAAATCCAGCTCCTGGATGAGATCTTCTCAGGGGCAGAGTTCCCAGAGCCCAGGGCCACCGCTCCCCAAGTCTGGCCTGACAACGCTGTCACATGAGAGGTACACCCTTCTCAGAGCCCCTCAAAATGAGGGTAAGCATTTCTTTCTGTGAGTTTCCGCTCTATTTCCCTCATCCCTATTTATTACCACCAGATTTCCTGGAATCATGGTGTTCTCACTGATTTTATTTGCTCTTTACATAGAACACCCATCAACCTGTTTCTGTTTTGTTTTGTTTTCAGTTTTAGGTTTTTTTTTACCCTGTTTTTCTATCAGTTTACATCTCTCTTCACAGTCCCATCTCTCTCCAGCTCATTTGATCTAGTACCCTTGTCATAATTATTCTAACATAATAAGGCCATCAGAAACTGGGGCCTTTAAACTCTCAACCTCAAAATCTTAGAACATGAGAACTCGAGCTCTTAACACAGATCTACATGGAAGCAAGGCGATCACTGAGCCAGTACCCTCTTTCCTACAAATGAGGAAGCTGCTCCTTGGGAAGTGGAGTGACCAGCCCAGCTTGGCCACTATATCCCAACTGAACATTCTTTTGGAGCAGTCTTCCAGAGAAAGTAAGAAAAACGAGGCTTTGAGGGGAGGATTCCTCTCCAACTCCAGACTCCTGAGGTAATCACCGGAGGTTCCCTGGAAAACCACTCCCATGAGAAGATAAATAAGGAATTGCACTACAGGCAGAGACTGCTCACACACACCCAGCTGCTCTGTGACTGGGGCATGAGGAGAGGCCTAGACAGGAGGTGAGGGAAACTGAGGCCTAGCTGGGGAGTCGGCCCAGGAGAGGAGCCTGCAGGAGTCAGGCAGGGATAGGCTTACTGGCCCACACAGATGCTGCAGGTGAGGCTGAAGGACCCAGGTCTGGGGGCACCCCGTCCCAATGCCCAGCACCCGCTGGCACCCCCCTCCCCCGCTCCCCAGTTCTGGAACACCCCCAGCCCACAGCACTCACGCATCCAGAGGTAGTAGAGGCGCTTGGTCATGCTGAGATGCTGAGGAGGGATATCGGCCTCGAAGTCTTGGTAGAAACATGGCTTAAGCGGGATGAATTTGGGCAGTGGTGGGAAGTTGTTCACCTTCTCTGCAGGCAAGGCACATTACACAGTTTCACCCTGAATATTCCCCTCCCCGATGACCTGATATGATCACTCTTTCCCTGGCCTGGGCTGCCCTCTTGGCTGCTGTGGCCACAGGCCACTTTACCATCCCCACCAGCTTTCCTGCTGCCTTGGGTCTCCAAAGTGGCCCTGAGGCAGCATCACTGTCAGAAGAATAAAAACAGTAAACACTGTCCATCAGGCGTGGACACTGGGTCGGAGGTAGTCCTGGGCAGAAGCAGCAGGATGGTGAGTCTGGAGATGTGGGTTCCAGCCCCCACTCCAAGATTTAGTCATCACCCTTCTCTCCAGACCTCCATTTATCCAGTGGGATGGGGGTCAAACTAGATAGTCCCTACAGGTCTCTCCAGTTCTGAGCCTTTGGAAACCAGACAACCCAGAAACCAGAAGGAAAAGGTCTCAAGAGTATTAGAGAGTAATGGTGACAGAAAGGATGCGGACTGAGCTAGCCATGCCACTCATCAGTCAGATGGACAGGAGGGCCAGGGCGTCAGGATGAGCTATCCCTGGTCCCCAGGTTCAGAGGTCTGACAGACAGCTAGACAGTGAGGGTCTTTAATAGACAAGTCTTGGTGGGGGACCAGGGGAAACCCAGGGGCAAGAGGACTGAAAGAATCTGATCTTCAAAAACTAAGGGGTATAAACGGACCAGGAAAAGGGCCACCCACCCTACATCACTGTCACATCCTACTCACGTGGATCCACCTTCCCCTTACCTGACATGATGGCACCCGCTGGCCCAGCAGCCTGTCCACGCCTCTTTGTCTCAAACTGGAAGGAAAGAAGAGTCAGTGAAGGTTGAAGATCATGGCTCACCCAGCCAAGTACTTCTTTCAGCCCCAGCTGGGCTGGAAACTCCCTGGGGCAGGGCCCATCTCATAGAACCACCATTCCAGCAGCTCTACCCTTCCAGGGACTCCTGCCCTTGACCTCCAGGCATAAAATCTATTTCCAGAAAATCCCAGGAGAGGGTGGGAAAGGAACCTGGGAGGCCACCTCAAGCAGGTGCAAGTCAAGTGACAGAGAAAGCTTGAGGAAATTCTATTCTTGACCTCGAACACAGCAGAGCTCTGGCCTCAGTCACAGGCTGGGCTCCCCTCCCCCTGCCTTTGTCTCCAGTCATTCATTCACTTCTTGAGCATTTATAATCTGCCAGGCACTGGGGAGAGAGCATGAAGAAGTGGGCCTTGCCGTTGGCATGAAACAATCAATAACCTTGGCCGTGAAAGTATAAAAGAGAAGGATGGCTATGAAAACATGCACAACATATATTAGGTGACCTGGTCTGGGGAGTCAAGAAAACCGTAAGGGGAGACCTGAAGAACACAGAGAAGTTGCCTGAGGCAGGGCGGCCTCTTGCGCAGGGGGGAAAGCTTGCACAGATCCTGAGGTGGGAAACAGCTTCATGCTTCCGAATAAGGGAAAGAAAGCCACTGCGGCCAAAGCAGAGAGCGCGTGGGGAGGGAGCAGGAATGGAGGTGGGCAGGGTGGGATTCTTGAGGCACTTAGGAGGCCAATTAGAAGGGGCTCCAAGGTGGCTCTGGGGAGGGAGGCCCTCATGAAGACTCTCTGCCAGCTTAAACCACTGAGCAACTGGTGGGCTGTTTACTGAGAACCCCATCATGAGAAGAGGCGCAGGGCTCCAGGGAAGAAGAGAAGCTTCATCGTGAACATACGGAGTCTGAGGTGCTGTGAGAACCTCCAGACAGGACAAAGCCTTGTAGGCTTTGGGAATATCTGGGTCAAGAGCTTAGCAGGAGGCCTGTGCTGAGACAGACATCAGGTAATGGTTGGTGAGTGAGGGTTAAGGAAGCAAATGAGAGCATTCTACCAGAACAGTAACTTTGATAGATAAATACAGATACACTGAAAAGCAGAAAATGGTCTATGGCCAAACACTAAGGCAATGCAACATCAAAATTTGGGCAGAGGGACTTCCCTGGTGGTCCCAGTGGCTAAGACTCCATGCTCCCAACGCAGGGTACCTGGGTTCAATCCCTGGCCAGGGAACTAGATCTCACATGCCGCAACTAAGAGTTCTCTCTAAAAGATGCCACAGGCTGCAAGGAAGACTGAAGATCCCAAGTGCTGCAACTAGGACTCAACGCAGCCAAATAAATAGATAAATAAAAATAGTAAAAAGAAAAAAAAAGTGGGCAGAAATTTCTATAACGTTTAAATCAGGCAAAACGAATCCATGGTGTTAGAAGTCAGGAGAGTAAAGGGAACACAAGCATCAGAGTGCTGGTCATGGTCGGTTCCTGGACCTGGGTGTTGCTGACACGAGGGGTTGATTTTGTGAAAATTCCTCAAGCATACGATTACAATTTGTGCACTTTTCTACCTGTTATACTTCAATTAAGAGTTTGCTTTAAAAGAAAAACAAACCTTCCCAGAGTTCCAGTCAAATTCCTCTGGCTCTACTGAAGTTTAGGCCATCATAATCTTTTGTGGTCTCTTTGTGATATGAAATCAAATACAGATGTAAAAATCTAACAGCATCTACCACAAATAGAAAAGATAGGCATGACAAAGACAAGCATGAAATGGTTCTTTTACATAGCTGCATTAATTGTAACACTGTAATACCAAAAGATTGGAAACAATTGACATGTCTATCAATAGCAGACTGGTTAAATAAATTGTACTGACTATTTCTCCATGGAGGAGGAAATGGCAGCCCATTCCAGTATTCTTGCCAGGAAAATTCCATGGACAGCAGAGCTTAGCACACTGCAGTCCACGGGGTCGCAAAGAGTTGGACATGACTGAGTGACTGAGCATGCAGGCACAGTTATTTCTAAAAATACTGATATGGAAAGAGCTCCGCAATTACAAGCAGTTGAAAAAATGCAATGTATAGAATACTTTATGCTACCTTTCATGTTGAAAAAAAATAAAGCAGGGGAGAGGAGAATAAAAGTATTTTTTGCTTTTGTCCCCAGAATCCTACTCTAGTTATTTACCCACAAATAAGAAACAACAAATACATGTTTTCAGGATGATGCTATTTTACGGTAGCAAAATGTTGGAAGCAACTGTTCGAATAAACTTTGTATATCATTCAATAGAGTAACATGTAGCTGTAAAAAAGAATGAAGATGGTATCTCTGAACTTCTATGGAATGATTTCCAGTATATACTGTTAAGTAGAAAAAGCAGGGAATTCCCTGGCAGCCCAGGGGTTAGGACTTGGCGCTTCTGCTGCAGGGGGCATGGGTTTAACTCCTGGTCAGGAAACTGAGATGCCAGGAAACAGATGCCATGAGCCACAAGAAGTAGCCAAAAAAAATAAAAAGCAGAGTACAAATTATTATAATTCGAATGCTACTTTTTATATAAAAGAAGGAGAAAGAAGAACATGCATTTATGTTTGTTTCTGCAAGAGACATACAGAAAGAATAAATAAAAAATTAATGAAATGGTCATCCATATGATGGAAGGGCTAGGACGAGTAGTGACTTTTCCGCATAAATATTTTTACATATTTTTTTTACATACAATGTCTTATGTATTCAAAAACTTACACCCAAAAGAAATCAAAGTCTAAACCTAAAATAAACACAGGGACTTTCCTGGTGGCCCAGTAGTTAAGACTCTGAGCTCCCACTGCTGGGGTCCCAGGTTCAGCTGGAACCCAGGACAGGGAACTAAGATCCTGCATTCTGGGCGACACAGCCACAAAACATATATATATATATATTGGAGAGAACCATTAAAATTGAAATAAACAAAAACAAATTAAGCTATCTGTACAGCAAATTGATAACACAATCACACAGGAAAAAGAACTGGCAAAGTGGCTTGATCTCAGTACTCTGTGTTCTCTTAAAAGGATCTATCTCAAGAGCAAAAACAACTAGAAAGAAATCTAAAATCTTAGCAGGTTTACTGTTGGTATTAGTGTGGTGACTGAAACTTTTCGTATGTACCGTAGCAGAGAACATATGAGAGAATGTGTTTGTGTTGTTGGAACCTGGGTTCTCAATGTTAGATACGGAGACAGAATATGGAATATGGGAAGATAAGAAAGAGTCCTGTGATGCTGGATTTGAATTGGAGGCATTGATATGAACTCATGTCTTTAAAAATATGTGGTCGGTCACAAGCCAAGACAAAGAAATACAACATCAGCCTAGAACATCTTGTGGTGCCAGAAATAAGCAGGAATTCAGCTAATTAGAACATGTCAAAAGGACACCAATTTGAAGGGGCTACCTACCAATCAGCCAAATTTGGGAGAATTCAGAGCATCAAAAATAATGACAGTAATATAATATGTTGAGTTTAAAAAATAATCCAAAGTGACACTCATTTTTTAAATGAGGGAGGAAGTAAGAAAGAAAGCTCTTCTTTGCAGAAGAATGCTAGCTATAAATGTAGGAGTAACAGAATTAGAAAATCTTCTAATTTTGCAACCATGAATGTCATAGCTGATTCACACAAGGATCTGCAATGGCTGCTAAGTCTTTCACTAGGTGAAAGATTGTTGGGGAAGAAGACAGTCACAGCGTCTCGAAGATGACTTAGTAATTACAAAGGAGAACAGGCACTTTTACTGTGAAAAAAGTTGGCAGACGCCATCTTAACCAGGTGGGCAAACTCAAACTCACCAATAATGGGACAGTGATATACCAGGAGGGGCAAAGCATCACCTATGCAGTATTCCTGCCCCCAGATATTTAGCTTGAATCTAGTCAAAAGAAACAATCAGTCAAATCCAAGTTGTGGAGCATTCTATAAACTAAACTGGCCAGGACATTAAAAAAAAATGCCAACATCCGGGACCTCCCTGGTGGTCCCGTGGTTAAGAATCCATTTGCCAATGCATGGGACATGGGTTCAACCCCTGGTCTGGAAGGTCCGACGTGCTTCAGGGTACCTAAGCCCATGCACCACAACTCCTGAAACCTGTGTACCCAGAGCCTGTGCACCACAACAGGAGAAGACGCCACAAAGAGAAACTACAGCAAAAAGCAGCCTCCACGCCTCTCAACTAGAGAAGGTCTGCAGGCAGCAAAGAAGACCAGCACAGCCATAAATAAATTAATTAATTTTTTTAATGCCAACATCCTAAAAGACAAAAAAAAGAAAAAAAAGATAAGGGATTCTCTAACCTAACGGAGTCTAAAGCTATATGGCAACAAAAACTGAGTGTAAACCTTGATTGGATTCTGGTTCAAGGTGGAAACAATGGGATATCAGGAAACTTGAATAGAGGCTCTAGATAGTATTATTTGGGTCTATATTACATTTCTTGGGTGTGGTAGTGTTCTTGAGGTTATGTAGGAAAATGTCCTTTTTCTTAGGAAATATGTGCTTCAGTGCTTAGGGGTAAAGTGTTGTGATATCTGAATCTTCAAATAGTTCAAAAAATAAGGAATAATGAATAGATATAGACAGAATCAAAGCAATGCAGCAAATGTTAATAATTGGTGAATCTCAGGGAAGTTACACGAGTGTCCCTTGTTTTATTCTTTCAACTTTAAAGCTTTCAAGATAAAAAGCTGGAGGAAAAATATGAATAATATCAGTTAGGGATGATAACACTGAAAGAAAAGAATGTGAAAGTTCAATATAACACACAAAAGAAAGGGAGATGGGAAGGAAAATTTCTAAGACAGAAGGAATGATATAATTTTTTAAATCATCATGTTGTAACCCCTATGTAGAATTGACACAGGCAAGGACTCTCAATGGCTGCTTAAACCACTGGGTGAAAGATGGCTGGGGAAGAGGGGAGACACACAGTCTGGGTGTCAGCCCCCACC